TATGTATATTATATAACCATACTATGCATACTTCTATTTATCAATTCTTTCTCTGGAGTTAGGTAGCATCATGCTTCATAGGTCTTTTGTAGTTGATTAGAATATTTATAATACTCAGAATAACTGAATCATTCACAGTAATTCTTCTAACAGTATTGCTCTTACTGTATACAGTATTTTCTTAGTTCTGCTCGTTTCACTCTCAAATCTTTCTCTATTTTTCTAAAATCAGCCGGCTCATCATTTCTTACAGCACAATAGGATTCCATCACAATCATATACCACAATTTGTTTCACCATTACCTGGTTGATGGGCATCCTCTCAATTTCCAGTTCAGTAATTGAGAACGTATAGGTTCTTTTCTTTTTTCCATGATCTCTTTGGGAAACGGACCTAATAGTGGTATTGCTGGGTCAAAGATATACATAGTTTTATAATTCTTTGGGCAGAATTCCAGATTGCTCTCCAAAATGATTGGATCAGTTCACATTCACTGACAGTGTATTAGTGTTCCAATTTTTCCATATCTCCTCTAACATTTGTCATTTTCCCTTTCTGTCATTTTAACTAATCTGATAGGTGTAAGACGATATCTCAAAGTTCTTTTAACTTTTGTACTTCTCTAGTCAGTAATGATTTAGAACAACTTTTCATATGACTATTGACAGCTTTGATTTCTTCATCAAAAAACTGCCTGTTAATATTCTTTTACTATTTATCAATTGAGAAATGACTCATATTCTTAAAAATTTGACCAAGTTCTCTGTATGTTGAAGTGTGAGATCTTTATCTGGGAAACAATGTATAAATTTTTTTCCCCAGTTTCTTACCTTCCTTCTAATCCTGTCTACTGTAGTTTTATTTCTACAAACCCTTTTTAATTTAATATAATCAAAACAATTTATTTTATACCTCACAATGCTATTTATTGTTTATTCATAAATTCTCCTATCCACAAGTCTGATAGGTAATATGTTCCATGTTCTTCTGATTTTCTTGTAATGTCTCCCTTTGTAGCTGTCATGTATCCATTTTGACCTTATCTTGGGTAAATGGTATAAAATACTGGTGTATATCCAGTTTCTGCTGGACTGCTTTCCAGTTTTCCCAACAGTTTTTAACTAAATAGTTAATTCTTATCCCACAAGCTTAAATCTTTACATTTGTCAAACACAAGGTTACTGTAATCATTTACCACTGTATATTATATGTTTGCCCTGTTCCACTGATCCATCTTTCTACAGTTACCACATTATAATACAGCTTAAGATGTGGTACTGCTTTTCTTCTGTTTTGTTTTCTTTCTTTCTGATGGTTCCTCCTATTGGTTCTAATTGATGGTTCTAACTCTTCCTTACAACATCACTAATGTGAAAATATGCTTAATAGGAATGTATATGTATAGCCTATATCAGATTGTGTGCCGTCTTAGGGAGAAAGAGGGAGAAAAATTTAAAACTCAAAAGCTTATGGAAGTGATTGTTGATAAATCAAAATAAATAATAAAAAATATGTGATATTGCTAAATCTCCTTCCTTTACTTTTTTCCATTAATTCTTTTAATATTCTTGACCTTTTGCTCTTCCAAATGAATATGCTTTTTTTTCTAGCTTGTTAAAACAACCTTTTGATGATTTAATTGGGGTGGCATTGAATAAATAGATTAGGTAGAATTGTCATTTTTATTATATTGGCTCTGCCCACTCATGAACAATTAATATTTCTTCAGTTTTTAAAATTTAACTTTATATAAAATCAATTTTATAATTATGTCTATATAGTTCCTGGGTTTGTTTTGGTAGGTATAGTTCTGGGTATTTTATGCTGTCTACAGTTATTTTAAATGGGGTATCTCTTAGCATCTCTTCTTGCAGGGTTTTGTTGGTGATATATAGAAATACTGGTGATATGTAGGTTTCTTTTATATCCTGCTACTTTGCTAAAATTATTAATTATTTCAACTAGCCTTTGAGTTGAATCTCTAGGATTTTCTTTTTTTTTCCTTTGTTTTCTTTTTTTAAATTAATTTATTTTGATTTATCAATAATCACTTCCATATGCTTTTGAGTTTAAAATTTTTCTCCCCCTTCCTCCCCACCACCCTCCTTAAGATGGCGCACAATCTGATATAGGCTGTGCATTTACATTTCTGTTAAACATATTTTCACATTAGTGATGTTGTAAGTAGAAATTAAAACCAATAGGAGGAACCATCAGAAAGAGGAAACAAAACTCAACACAAGAGAAAAAAAATAGCAATTCGGCTTCCGTAGTTCTTTCTTTGGGTGTGGATAGCATTTTCCATCACAAGGCCTCTGGAGATGTCTTAGATCCTTGTATTGCCAGGAAGGGTTAAGTTTATCAATATTAGTCATCACACAACATGGCTGTTATTGTGTACAACGTTCTCTTGGTTCTGCTCACTTCACTCAGCATCAGACCATACAAGCCTTCCAGGTTTTTCTGAAGTCAGTCTGTTCATCATTTCTTATAGTACAATAGTATTCCATCTCATTCATATACCACAACTTGCTCAGCTGTTCCCCAACTGATGGGCATCTCCTCAATTTCCAATTCTTTGTCACCACAAAAAGAGCTGCTATGAATATTTTTGTACATGTAGGTCCTTTTCCCGTTTGTGTGATCTCTTTAGGATATAGCCCTAGAAGTGCTGTTGCTGGGTCAAAGGGTGTGCACATTTTTATAGCCCTTTGGGCATAGTTCCAAATTGCTCTCCAAAGTGGTTGGATCATTTCACAACTCCACCAACAATGCATTAGTGTTCCAATTTTCCCACATCTTCTCCAACATTTATCATTTTCCTGTTTTGTCATGTTGGCCATTCTGATAGGTGTGATGTGGTATCTCAGAGTTGTTTTGATTTGCATTTCTCTAATCAATAGTGATTTAGAGCATTTTTTCATATGACTATAAATGACTTTAATTTCTTCATCTGAGAACTGTCTGTTCCTATCCTTTGACCACTTATCAATTGGGTATTGGCTTGTATTCTTATAAATTTGACTTAATTCTCTATATATTTTAGAAATAAGACCCTTATCAGAGATACTGGTTGTAAAAATTCTTTCCCAATTTTCTACCTTTCTTCTAATTTTAGTTGCATTGGCTTTGTTTGTGCAAAAACTTTTCAATTTAATGTAATCAAAATTATCCATTTTGCTTTTCGTAATGTTCTCCGTCTCCTGTTTGGTCATGAATTCTTCTGTTCTGCATAGATCTGACAGGTAAACTACTCCTTGCTCTCTCAGTTTGCTTATAGTATCAGCCTTTATATCTAAATCATGTACCCATTTTGACTTTATTTTGGTATATAGTGTGAGATTTTGGTCTTTGCCTAGTTTCTGCCATACTCTTTTCCAGTTTTCCCAGCAGTTTTTTTCAAAGAGTGGGTTCTTATCCCAGAAGGTGGGGTCTTTGGGTTTATTGAATAATAGATTACTATAGTCATTGACTACTGTGTCTTGCATACTTAACCTATTCCACTGATCCACCACTCTATTTTTTAGCCAGTACCAAGCAGTTTTGATGATTGCTGCTTTATAATACAATTTAAGTTCTGGAATGGCTAGGCTACCTTCCCCTGCCTTTCTTTTTATTAGTTCTCTTGATATTCTGGACCTTTTGTTCTTCCAAATGAATCTTGTTATTATTTTTTCTAACTCTATAAAATAATTTTTTGGTAGTTTGATTGGTATGGCACTGAATAAGTAAATTAGCTTGGGTAGAATTGTCATTTTTATTACATTAGCTCGGCCTACCCATGAGTACCTGATGTTTTTCCAATTATTTAGATCTCATTTTATTTGCGTGAAAAGTGTTTTGTAATTGTGTTCATAGAGTTCCTGGGTTTATTTTGGGAGGTAGACTCCTAAATATTTTATAATGTCTACAGTAAGTTTAAATGGAATTTTTCTTTTTATCTCTTGCTGTTAGGCTTTGTTGGTAATACATAGAAATGCCAATGATTTATGTGGGTTTATTTTATAGCCTGCAACTTTGCTAAAGTTGTTTATTATTTCAAGTAGTTTTTTACTTGATTCTCTAAGTATAACATCATGTCATCTGCAAAGAGTGAAAGCTTTGTTTCTTCTTTGCCTATTCTAATGCCTTCAATGTCTTTTTCTTCTCTTATTGCTAAAGCTAATGAATCTCTAGGATTTTCCAAGTATGTCATCATATCATCTGCAAAAAGAGATAGTTTTATTACCTCATTGCCCATTCTGATTCTTTTAATTTCTTTTTCTTCTCTTATTCTTATTGCTTGCATTTCTAATACAAAATTGAATAATATTGGTGATAATGGGCATCTTTGTTTTACTCTAATTTTTAAATTTTTTTTCAAGTTTTAAAACTTTTTATTTGCGTATTAAAAATTGTGCATTCTCCAATAATTAAAATCATTTGAACAAAAAAAAAAATAGCACTCTGATTAACTGTATTTTATAGCTTGCCAGGACCTTGGTGCAGCTTTGCATTTTACTGTTAACTAGATTTGCTGTAGTCCCACCTAGGTTCTTCTTTTCACCAACGTGCAAGCTTTTTTTTATGATTGACTTTTTTTTTTTTTTTTTTTGACTAGGCAGTGTGGTTGAGTGACTTGCCCAGACTCACACAGCTAGGAAGTGTCAAGTGTCTGAGGCCGGATGTGAACACAGGTCCTTCTGACTCCAAGACCAGAGCTCTATCCACTGCACCACCTAGCTGCCCTGCAAGCTCTTTTAAAAAAAAAAAAATTTTTTTTTTTAATGCCACCAGGCCCAAACTAGCCAGGACAGGCAGATGGAAAGAGGCAGCTGGCTGCGCCTTCATTCAGTTCAGTGTCAGTAATTCTTTATTCTTCTGATGTTGAAAGGGCAGCACAGTCACTTAAACTTTATCCAACCTCTTTGCATCTTACAAAGTTAAACAGCTAAAAGAAGCAAAATTAAGAAGGCAGTGCTTGTGGAATGTACAGTGCATATTGGCAGGGCAGATTTCATTACAATTCACTCACTTGCTTCTCTTCAATTGTTTCTTTTGAAAGCAGTGGGTTTTTCTGTTGTGTTTCTGTCTTCTTCATTTTAGACTCATCGGATCTCTGAATCTCAGCCATATCTGGTTTGTTAGACATTTTTGCAGATTAAGCAGTGATGGGTGGGTGCAGTAAGTCAGATCTCTGAGGTGGCAGCTCGCATCTGTCATTTTTTTTTTTTCTTAATACTCTTCCCTTTATTGGCTACATATCTTTGTGAGGCTGGATTTTCTTCATATATTTTTTTGAGGGGGGTAGGTTGGCAATGGAGTTAAGTGACTTGCCCAAGGTCACACAGCTAGTAAGTGTCAAGTGTGGGAGGTCACATTTGAACTCAGGTCTTCCTGACTCCAGGGCCAGTAGTTGCCCCCTGTTTAACTCTTTTTTTTTTTTTTTTTAAAGACAATTGGCGTTAAGTGACTTGCCCAGGGTCACACAGCTAGTAAGTGTCAAGTGTGTGAGGCCAGATTTGAACTGAGGTCCTCCTGACTCCAAGGCCAGAACTTTATCCACTGTCCCTGTTTCACTCTTGATCTTATTGGGAGGGCTTCTAGCTTATCCTCATTACAAATAATGCTTGCTGATTATTTTAGATAGGTGCTTATTATCAATTTAAGGAAAAATTCATTTATACTTGTGCTTTTAAGTGTTTTTAATAGGAATGAATGTTGTATTTTGTCAAACCTTTTCTGCATCTGTTGACATAATCATATCATTTATTGCTTTTGTTATTGATATAATCAATTTAATAGTTTTCCTTATGCCAAACTATCTCTGCATTCCTGGCATAAATCCCAGCTGGATAACTTCAATGTTACATATTATTAAAGAGCTTGGAAATGTTTTTTGAAATAGTGTTTTAGTGATATTTAAGTTTAATTTGTTTTTAAAAATAGTTTTGATAAAAATTGCCTCAGTTTTTTTTTGTTTTTGTTTTTGTTTTGTTTTGTTTTGTTTTGGTCAAAGAAGTCTGTTAAAAGATAGGACTTAAATAGTGGGTAGAGACAGACTGCCAAAGACTTGAAATCTTGTAGGAAAGCATTTTGTATTTGTTTCTCAACTTATGTCTGGTTACCTTATGTTTGTAATGTAGGGACCTTTCCAATACTTTGATATGACATTTAGCATCTTCTGAAGTGTCTCTTCTCTAGGTGTTGTGATGGAATGGAAAGTATATTGCTTTGAAATTAAAGGTTCTAGGTTTATATCCTGCCTCTGGGAATTTGTACCTATGATGTTGGGTAAGTCATTTCAGTTAAACTCTTTAGGTCTTAGTTTTCTCATATGTAAAAAGAGCCTCAATTTTCTCATACATAAAAAGAGTGGATTGGACTGTTACTGTCATCTTTCAGTTGAATCTGACTCTTTGTGACCCTATTTGGGGTTTTCTTGGCGAAGATATGGGAGTGGTTTGCTGTTTCCTTCTCCAGCTCATTTTTCATATGAGGAAATTGATGCAAAGAGGGATAAAGTGATTTGCCCCAAGGTCTTGTAGCCAGTCAGTGTCTGAGACCGAATTTGAACTTAGATCCTCCTGATTCCAGAGCAGGCATTGTGCCACCTAACTGTCCTCGGTAACTCTCTAAGCCCTTTTAATTAAATTACCAGATTATCTTCAAAGAGGTTTAATTTTACCTCCTCTTTGCCATCTTAAATTTTCTTGTCTTTTTGCTATAATTAACATTTCCAGACCCCACAGCTTCCTTCAAAGCTCAGCCCAGGGCCATTTCCTACTCATTACTTTTGTGGCCTTGCACAAGTAATATAACTTTTCTGGGCCTTAATTTCCCTTTTTTAAATTGAAAGGATTTGACTAAATGACTTCTGAGATCCCTCATATCCCTAATTCTGGGCTCTGTGATCCTGTGACATGCTTTTGAATTTCTCTGACTCTCTGACACTCTGACCTTGGGCAAGCCATTTAACTTTTTATGATTTTTGAATTTTTGTAAAAGGGTTTGGACTAGGTGATCTCCATTGTTTCTTTAGTTTTAAAATCTGTGAGCTTAAACTATAAATAACACTTATAAAGTGAACTAATTTAGAATTTTTACTATTTTATACTCCCTCCTAGTTTGACATACTTTTTTTTTTTTAACCGAAGGGAAAACTAAAACCTACCCTGGCATATCAACAACTTTTATAAAAAGTTGCCAATTACTAATTTATCCCAATGTAGTTGGAACCGAAGAGAATTAACAGTATTGCTTTGGAATGACAAAAACATCCCCCTTGTTGCAGGTGTTTTTTTTTTTTTTTTAAATACCTGGCCTTCGATTTGTTACAGTTGGTGAATATATTTCATGTTTACTTGAATGAAGCAAATAAAACATGCTTTATTCTGTTTTATGTGGCAATAAAATTCCATTTATATGTGGTAACACTGATTATAGACTTGTTATAATGTAAAAAAATCTGGTAATTTTTATTAACATGTGCTTTTGCTTTTACATATATAACTTATTTTATTACTTCTGGTATCATAGATCTCATTGGTATAGTAGGTCCTTTGATCACTTATGTAGATTATATTACATTACATTTCAGGAAGGTGGTTATAGTCATTTACTGTGACCAGAAAAAAAAAAATCACCTCACCAACTTCATAGTGATGACCTTTGTGTGACAGATTTGTGTAGTTTGTTGTTTGACTTCATCTCTTAAATCTTTTTAAGCTTTGTAGGATCACTCTTCCTAATTTCCTACTCTCATTCTATTTTTTTATTTTTTTTTTCCTCTTTGTGAGGCAGTTGGGGTTAAGTAACTTGCCCGGGTCACATAGCTAGTGTTATATGTTTGATGTAGAACTTGAACTCAGGTCTTCCTGATTCCAGGGCCAGTGCTCTATCCATTGTGCCACTTAGTGGCCCTGCATTTGGGGTTTCTTATTTAATAAGAATACAAATTGCCCAATGGCATTGTGAGTAATTCTTAACCCATCAGATTACAACTTTTGTGACCTGGTTTTGAAAAGTATACAGAACTTTCCTGTGGGAGTGGATCCAAAGTTACTCATCACCCCCCCCCCCCGGAAATCTTTTACCCTTTAATTATTGTTATTATTATTATTATTATTTTTTGAAATTTGTGTCATTTCAAAAAATTTTTTTTAAATGACATCTTCAATTTAATAATTTTTTGTAAATTTGTGGGTTTTTTTCTTGCTTTGAAATTTTAATAAGGCAACATGTAACTGTATAATATCGTATTGTAAACAATTCATTACAGGAACATATTCCTGCCAGTGCATGCTGGACTTTCTGACAATGCAACATGCTCACCTGCCAACAACTTACTTGTTTTTAAGACTTGTCGGCGGACCTGACCACTGACCAGTTATAACTTGTATTTTGTGTGTTTATTTGGAAGATAATGTAATCATCACGACTTTAATCTTAAATAACAGATGAAACATGTACGCGTGGTTTTTCAAAAATTTGTTTTCTTTCCTATGCTTCCACTTCCCCCTTATTTTTATTCAGTGCCCCCCCCCTCCACCCCATTACATCCATGTCTACTACCAAGCCTGTCCCCCCTAGCATCCCTCAGGAGGTGATATTGCCCACTTTGGGAACCTCTTTTTGAATTAGGAAGACCTAAGTTCACATCCTACCTCAGATACATACTAATTGTATATGACCCTGTCAAGCCAGGGTGTCTTCATCAGTAAAGTGGAGATAATAATAACACCTAACTCTCAGGGTTTTTGTGAGGATTAAATGAGTTAACATGTAAAATGCTTTGCAAACCTTAATCGCTATGTAAAACTGGCTATTGTTATTATTGTCATTCTTGTCCAAACTCGTTTGATATAGCTAGAATTATACTGATTATCTATGTAGTTAATGTAGTTTTGAGTTTTTTCTAGGTTGGTAAGAAAGGACCTAGAGAGTATCTTTGGTATATTTCATAGAGAACTGGCCTCCCAAATCAGGAAGACCTTGATTTAAGTCCCTTTTCTGACATAGTTTCCGGGTAAGTCAGGTGACCTCTCAGTGTTCTAGACAACCTAGCCTTTTTAAGTTGCAGAGATTGAAGAGCAGGAACTGATTTGCCTTGGTAGAGGGAGCTTCCTTATCCGGAATTCCCTATAGTAATGAAAGTGCATGAAGTACTGGAGAGTGGGTAGATGAGATGACTCTTATCTTTTTTGTAATAGCCAAATGTGGGCTTGCCTCTAACACACCACCACCTGCCTTTCATCCATTTTTGCCTCTGGTGTGGGTCCCTAAGATCAGTTAATGCAACTTCTACTTAGGCATTCACCACATCTGTGAAGGTGCTTGCTATTGGGAAAATTCTTCTCTCCTTATTGCCTCTATATCCACTCCCTGTCCCCCAGATCAGTTCTTGCCTGAAAACTGTCTTCTCTTGGATGGTAGCCCCTATATTACAGGGCAGTGATTGGTGAGTGAGACTCCTCTACTTTTATTTCCAATGTCTTTCCCTCTCCTACCTTTCAAACCTATTCCCCTCCTCTTTTTGTTTGGGTTAGACAGTGAGTCTTATAGTTATGTAGATAATGAGTGTATGTAAGCACACACATACTGGGGGGGGAGGGGCATTATTCTCAGATTTGTTTATTTATTTATTACTGATAGATGTACATGAACAAAAAAAATAGGAAGACTTCTGTTAAGAGAGTTTTGTATTCTGTAGTGAACTTTGGGACTTCCATCCTTATAGCAGTAAGCATATTTGAGAAAAATTGTGGAAATGGAATGAGCCGAAGTACCATAGATAGTCAGAATGTCTGCATTGCCTAGGTTAAAAACAAACTTACTAGTGTAGTTTTTATTGAAAAGTGAATTTTTTTGTATTTGAAGTTGAATTGATGAATATTCTGTGCTTGAGATTTGTATTTATTTCTCAGTGATGTAATGGGTCACTAGGATTATTGAAGCAATATTTCATGGAAAGAGTCAGTGTTAAGAAACAGGTAAAAATACTGTCAACTTCACTTTTATGATTATCATTATGACTATTATTCCCACATTCTTGCCATTTTAATAAATGTAAGGCTGTCTTTAGCTGGCTGCGCTCATGGAATTATTCTCCTATTTATTTATGCCAGTCAAGTAGGATATATGTTGCTGGTA